ATGTGAGGCGGAGTTGAATCAAATCCAGAATCGTATTCAGACGAGATAATTAAAACGGAAGAAAAATAATTTAATCTTGGATTACCTCATGCATCAACGGGCTGTATAACAAAACTCTTCTCGCCAATATAACTGCTGTCGAAATTGCAACTTTAATTATAGAGAGTTGAGTCAGTACAAGTTATATTTTTTTACTCTCCACTTCGACCAATTACCGTTTACTACGGAGTACCAATAATTTATGTCAGAGCAGTCCAACTTCCTTGTGCGCTTTCTCGTGTGTGCAGTTCAAAGCAGGATACTTTGAATTAATAAGTTAATACTTTCAATAAATTTTCACCTTGTTTTCATGTTAATTAATTGAATTTTACGTCGCACCAGCGGGGCACTAAAGTGATGGGGTGAGCATACGCCAATTAGCGAAACATGCGGCGAAAGTGAGGTCAAACCGCACACAATAACCCTAGAAACTTTTGAAACAATCGTCAATTCTCCGACGCAAAGCGAAATAATGCCAAGTGGGAAGGGCATCACACCGACATCAACCCCTTCACAGATTAAATTTATCCTCTACTTATACTGCACTTTGTCACTAGATACAAAACTTGGAAAACTCTCCCCAAAGGCGGTTCAAACTTCGGCCCCAGCGCCAACGCGAGAGTGAGGAGAAAAAAATATATTTATTTCAACAAAAGTTGTGTTTTTTTTTTGTTTCAAAACTCACCGTTATTTTTCTCAGCCCCGGTAAAAACTTCGAACCATTTGCAAAACTTGATTAATGTTTTTCCAAAATCCGAATCCAAAAAAAAAACTATTGTAGATAATTGTAGATAATTGTAAATAACGGAGGGATCGAGGATTGAGCAAATTGGAGAGTAAGTCGAAAGAAGGGAATTTTGAGGAAAATTTTTTGGTGTTATTTGAGATAATTTAATGGACACGCACGGAGAGCACTCAGTGGAGAACGGTGCGAGGTGTTTCGTTGGTGGACTGCGCGATTCGACTGAGGCAAGTGGCGAGCAGCTGGTGGAGACAAGCTGCCAACGATGTGAGCAAAGCCCATACCTAGCAGGCGCAGACTTTCGATTCCAGGTCGATCATTGACCAAATTCCATCTCAGTATCCCCATAACGGACCATCATCCCACCATTCATGATCTTAGGCTCCCTAATAAACGCCATGAACCTGCATTCAATATAAATAATAATTAAAACACATCATTATAAATTCTCAACTTGATTTCCCCCTCTCAACCCCATTATACGATTTCTA